TACAGACTGTCGGTTCACACCCCATCACAAGCCAGCAAAACATCCACGAAACAAAGAAAGGTCTGTCACAGCCAAAAAATACACTCCAGACACGCCGCTGGCACTAGAGGCACAGCATGGCCACCTAGTAACGGCCCCGACCACTGCCGCTCGACCTGACCGGAAAAAACCGTATATATATCGTCACAAATAGAACTGCCCGGTAAACCGTAGGCAGAGAGAGAGAAGAGGACAACAAACGAGGGGCTGTGACAAACTGTTTCGTCGGAGTTTCACCGATTATTCTAAATTTGGTGCCGAATTTCGATGTGACCCTGAAGCAAAAGTTGTTTAGTTTATTTTTCTGCATAACATAGTTTTTTCTGGATTTTTTGGATTTTTTTTTTTTTTTTTTGGCTGCGACCTTCCCTGGTCCTTGCACGTTCCACCCGGGACCCGGGCGGCCCGGATGGTAGCCTAGATTCTGACTAAATTTAGTAGGATTTATGTTCAGGGTAGAATTTTACAACGAAGAAAAGATGATGGAATTTCGAAAAAGGACGATTAATTCAGAGTAAAGATATTAAATTGATTAATCCATTCGTGAATTAATTGAATTTAGTCGAAATTAATTGAGAAGTTCAGAATGACTTTTTTTTTTTTTTTTTAATAATGAAACAGTAGTTTTATTAGGGCCCAGTCCCCAAGGCAGAAATACAATGTCAAAGAGCTGCAGAAAGAAACGTACTTCCGAAAAAGGAATTTCGAAAGAGAATTGTGAAAAAGAATTGTGAAAAAGAATCAATTGATCATGATGTATTTTTGAATTTCAAGAAAAATTTCGAAAAGGAATTTTATGAATTAAAATATACGAGAAAAGGAATTAAATTAAATTGTTTTCGAATTTCAAAAAAGAAATGTTGAAAAGGAATTAATTAATTCGAACGTATTTCCGAATGACAAAAACAAAAAATTGAAAGAGAATTAATAAATCTTATTTTCCAATTTCAGAGAAATGTCAAAAAATAATTAATTAATTCTAAACATATTTTCGAATTACAAAAAAGAAGAATTTCATTAATTCTAAAATATTTTCGAATTACAAAAATTTCGAAATTATTTTCGAATTTCGAGGAAGAAATGCCGAGAAAGAATAATTAATTTTACATATTTTCAAAATTTTCGAAAAAGAATTAATTAAAAATGTTTTCGAAATTCGAAAAAGAAATAAAAAAAAAAAAAGTAATTACTTCCGAAGTATTTTCGAATTACAAGAATTTCAAATGAATTCTGAAAAAAATAAAAACAAAAATAAATAAGGAATAAATGACTAATGGAGTAAATCAAGGGTGAAGCGATCCTATCTATGGTTGATTGGGTGGTAGCATAGTAGGTAGGGTTAAAAAGGGGGGGTTGCATGGGTAGATTGATGATGATGATGATTGGGGATGGGGGGAGAAGGTGGGGGGAAAGTTGCGCAGGGGGGGGGCAAATCGGGCTCGGCGAATCGTGCGGGGTGCCCGTGGGGAGAAGGAAGTCGGGGGAAGGAGATCCTGGTTGGGGTCGGGGGTAGGGGCGCGGAATGGAGATCGGGGGGAACCGGGGGAGTCAGGGAAGGATCCGGGGAAGTTG